ACATCAACAACACTAGTATCATTTCCTTGATTTACAAAGTCAACAGTTTGAGTACAACTATTCAATTGTTCCATTGTGATTTCTTTTCATTCTGGAAGAACAAGTTTTTACTGTTATTTCTTTTGAGAAATATCTATAGTTTTATACGACTAGTTAGACTGATGACTAGTGGTTCTAATCAGGCATGGTGAAGTTTATATTTTTTTTAGACGTCTTGAGTTCTATTATTTATTTTCTGATTTAGGTTTGCCAGGTCTTTGTTAATGTTCTTCTATTTTCTCTCATTTGATTAAAGGTTCTCAATGTTGGTGCTCTAAGATATAGGTAGTCATTTGACGTTTTGAGCTCAACTAGTAACTAATTTGATTGAAAAAGCTGGTTCAAAGATGCCTAATTTCAAATCCCTTGAGCTTCTGCTAGAGCTTTAAGTCCTTCTGTTTCCTTCATCTTTGCATATAAGTCCCTAAGTATGATCTGCTTACGTCTGTAGAATTCAGCCTCTGCAGTTGCTTGTTGTGCCTCTGCTTCTTTCTCCTTTCCGTAGTGAAATGCTTCAGCTTCTTTTGTTTCTTGTAGAGCTCTCAATTTGCTTCTTGCACCTTTTAGACCAATGAGGCATTAGAAACTTCAAAGTTAGGATTTTTTTGTAAGTTTTAAGTTTTATGTAAAAAGTAACCTAATAATAATTGTGTCTAATCTACTTTCATGTTAAATTACACTGATAGTGTGAATTATTATCGATTCTCGCATAATCAAAGATGTTACTTTCTCCATTCCAGTTCATGTTCTTGTTAATAACCAACACAATCTTATGTTAAAATATAGCAGGCACTACTGTTCTACCCTAATCAGAGGATCTGGTTGATATTCACTGGAAAGTTAAGGCCTTTACTCTTTATTTTTTACCCCTGATTTAGCTACAAAATTTAACTATCGAGGTATTTACTTTACTGAATGTAATTAGGAAGATGCTTGTTGTCATTGTGTCCAATGTGCTTAAGCTAAATTTAGTTTCTTTATATGTGTTTGTGTTTTGTTATTTGTATGCTTGTACTGCTAGTTCCTTATTTATAAAAGAAAGTATAGTTTATACTGTAAAGTAAGCTGGTTGCACATAGAATGCTTTATTATTCTGTAAGTTGACTGGAATTAGAATTCTTCAGTAAGGAATTTTTTTTCTAGGTAAGCTTTTTTCCAGCTTTCCTAGTGAGAAATTTCAGTTTCAGCTCCTCCTTTCTTTAATTCACAGGCACAGGAGGTCAAATTCCAATTGTTGTGAAAGTTACCGAATGAGTCTATTTCATTCTAATTCGAGAAACTGTTTTTGTTAGTTCGATCTCTATATTTTAACTAAATTTAATGAATATGAATTAGAGTACCTTTTGGTCAACCAACTAGTGCTTTGAGAATCACATAGCATTAATGTTTTGAGAATTCCGGATTGCAACATGTTCAACTATTGTGGTAACCTTCACATGTTTCTTCTAGTAAAATCCTAAAACAGCAAAACATAGAATATAATAATGTTCTTCGGATACAATTCGATCCTTCTACGGCCAAATCTCAATTTGTGGAAAGCCTTTGTAATAATTGAAAATTGTCCATTTGTAGTTGCGTGTGTTGAGTTAGACAAACACAAACTGGACTTTAACCAAACAAATCCACATGAAAATTACGTTTTCTCAATTGATTCTTTCTCAATTCAAGTTTGATTCTCCAAACTTAGATGCCCCAAATACTTGTACAATACTAATTTGAAAATTCCCTCTCTGTTTAGAAAGATCCAAAATTTAACTCATTGTGATTTGGGGGTTTTAAATGGCTGATAAGGAAGAGGGAAACTTGTGAAATTTGTTGTACAGAGAGTTTTAAGATGATTGAATTTTGCATTTACTAATAGCAGAGGAATTTTGAGAGAAAAGACACAGTGTGAGAATTCTGGATTACAATTAAATGCAAGCTCAACATTTCAATAAGTATACATTGTTGGTCTAATGTATACACCGCTGAATTTTGGTACATATTGTATACACTGCTGGTCTAAATGAAGGCTCAGCATTTCAAGCCAAATGTATTAAGCAACCAAATGTATTAAGTAGTTCAACCTAAATGTTGTTGCCCATTTTATTAGGATACCTCATATAGGCATGTCTCCAAGATGTTTTCACTAATAGAGTAGCCCAAAATAACCAGAAACTTATGATGAATCCAATTGCCATGCTAATATAGAATGATAACTCATCAAATCAGTTGTCTTTCTCATGCTGATGAATGTCCTGCACATCTTTTTTCTTTGCTAATATAGAATGATGTATGTCTTCCTCATACATCAAGTCAGTTACAATGCTGATGAATGGCCTGCAAAAATATAGAATGAAGTTACAGTGAGTTATGTACTCACGAAAATGTCCTGAGCAGCTTTGGGTATTCCCAATATAAGAACTATTATCCAAGGTTAAATTAGACAAACAATATTTCTGCCTTTCCCTTCCATTATAATTTTATTCCTAATCTTTAATGTTTTCTCTTTATCTCAATTTATTACAGGAAAAATATGAAGAAATATTACGGGAAAAAACAACCTCTCAATCTGATATTGATCAATGTGAAGCATACTACCAAGCTGCCGGGGGAGAAAAGAAGAAAAAAATATACGGTCTTGGATATGAAGCAAAAACTTACTATGGGCAGAATCTTTGTGCCTCATCATCTGTAGCACCTTCAGTTTCTCAATCAACATCGACAAGAAATATGGATGTGTTTGTGAAAGAAATGATTCCTGCCCTTACTAATTATTTTCTTCCGGTTATTATGGAGCGGGTACAACAAGTGGTTACTCCCATTGACAATCCATCACTTGTGACACCCATGGTGCCTCCTCCTGCTACTACTAATGAGGACGAGGTTGATCCCTTAGTTTCAAGTGACGAGGGTATCCCTTAATTAGTTTCCTTTAGCTTTAATTTTTGGATGTTTGTGTTTTTGAAAAGTACAAATTGTCTGATAACAATAGTTGATGACTTGCTTTTGATGTTTTGCAGTGAAAGTACGTGATTAAGATTTTGCTTATCTACATATTTTGAACCCTCTAAATATTATTTTATATGAATGTTTGCTATTTTAGAGGTATTTAGTAATTGTTATTAATTTATTTCAGCAATGTATATTTAAAATATATAAATGAAATTATTTTACAAGAAAATTTTTAGCAACAAATTTAATGACGATTTGGCCGTTGCTATAAAAAATTATTGGCGACGAATTAGCAACGGAACATTTTAGTGGCAAATATGCTGGCTTAAATAACAAAATATTTTGTGACGGATTAGTGACGGAAATTCCGACGCGAATTTATTTGAAATGATGAAAATTAATGATGAACTTAGCAACAAATATTTTGCGACGGATTAGTGACGGAAATTTCGTCGCGAATTTATTTGAAATGACGAAATTAATTATGAAATTAGCAACGAACTATATAAGTATAACGACGGACTAGTCCGTCACTAAAGTTGCGACGGACTAATTTTTCGTCGCTAAGAGATTACTAACGAGCGAAATACTAACAGCCAAAAATCCGTCGCAAATCTGGTTTAGCGACGGAATACCATAGATTAGCGACGGATTTCGTCAGTCGCTAAATGCTGTTTTTTTTGTAGTGAATCTATACTCTTTCTAAGTCTAAAGTTGTTGCTTGTTTTGCATAGGAGTGGATAACAGAGTGTTATAACAACAAAAACTTGTTGAAACAAAAACTTATCTTGTGCATCATACTGGCATGCCATAGAAACGTCAAGGTGTCTCTCATGAATCCATCCAAGGTTAACTCTCTCTATCTTTGTCTCTCCTCCTGTCACTCCCCGAGGCTACCCCCAGGACGTAAACACGGGACCTAGGATCACGAGTGACTCAAAGCTAACACTAAACTGACATATCATAAACATACTAAAAGATTACTGAATAAAAATATACTATGCGGAAGCTTAAAACCATTACTAACTAAACGTGGGGAATACCCAATACTGATTTGAATATATAAAAGACTACGAATTTAATAACAACTGGAAGATCAAATCAACTAAAGCTGAATCTAAACTATGTCTGAAATAAAGCCTCTACTGACAAGAAATGCTAGGACATGCCCCAGCTAGATCTAGTAAATACTGAAACTAATGACTAAAATTGGAAAGATGACATGTAAATCGTCCTCGAAGAATGAGGACTCACCACTGATGATGCTGAACTAGAGATCGGGAACCGATCTATGCGCGATATGGAAGTTGAGAACTTGAACCTATATCACAAGAAAATGTAGCGCAGGGTATGCGTTAGTACTTGAAAGGTACTGAGCATGCAAGATAGAGTAAAGCTGAATAATAATCATAACTGAACCAAAGCATATAATGAGCAACAATATGATGTAAGCATGATACTGAACTGAGAATACTGAACATGAAATAACTGAATGCAATGACCAAGTTTATAATATGCTGATGCTGACGTTTGACTGTAAATGATAACATGGTCAATGCAATAAAATCTTACTGAACTGTGGGAGATACTAATAACCGACATAAAAACACATGAGCTAAATGTGGAGTTTGATGTATAAGCCCCATCGAGAGGACCCAATATACCATCCCAGAGGTATAGAGGCATGATTGGCGTGACACTAAAATGATGCCCACAGAGGGGACTTACAACCTGCGGGGGCACGTAGTTCTGGGACTTGAGGGTGACTGACCCTAGTCGAACTCAGTATTAAGTCTACTCCCAATTGATTATGTAAATAAGCAATATTATGACTGAAATACTGAAGTACTGGATAGCTCAATTACTGACATGCAAACTCTGAGAATGCAACAATTATATCTGATAATGTGGCCTTCGTAAACTAAAGCATGTATGTATATATATGAATTTACTGACCTAGCATGTACAATTCATGAACTAAGAGAACTACATAGCTAGGGTTCTGAATTTCATGCAAGGAACTAAGCAACAACGTGATAATCTTATTTGGATCATACTAACAGCTAAAACCCAATATTTTCTACATTCAAGAAACCTTAGGTCTAGATAATATCAAGGGAATCAAGATTATGACTAAATTCTAGGGACCTAATGGGTGAAAGGAACCCACTAGTGAAATCCCACATACCCGGTGATGAATTCCACGGAGAAATATTTTGATTTCGGAGCTGGAATGGATGAAACCTTGCTGCGTTCTTAAACTAGGGTTGCTCGACCTCTTTCTCCTCTTTACGTTCTAATTTTCTATGTTTTTGATGAATAATCTTACTAGGGTAAGTTCTAATTAGTTTACTAGGGTAAAACTGACTAAAACTACGTAGTTTAGGGGTTCAACAACGTAGTTTAAGGGTCCAACACATAGGGAAAAGAACAAACGACCTTTGACTTAACTGTTGTCGAGGGAATCGACGGACCAGATCGACAGACCGTGGATTGACCGACGGTCCGTGCTGGTCGGCCGTCGTTCGAGATTGAGGCTGGAAATTGGGGGCATCGATCCACAGACCAGGACCACGGTCCGTGGCCTGACCTACGGTCCGTGGCCTGACCTACGGTCTGTGGGTCCGGCCGTGGGTCCAGCCGTAGACAATTTTGGAGGCTGATTCTGGGGAGGGCTGCAGGTGGACATCCACAGATCAATAGCATGAACCGTGGGTCACCCTACAGTCCATGGGTGGCAACCGTGGGTTGCACGTGTAGCTTCTGAAAATTGTATTTGGTAGTTCTAGCATATGGGGTGTTACATTATCTCCCCTTCGGGAATATTCATCCTCTAATGAAGACAAAACTAGCTGAAATGGAGGGAAAGAGCTACAAATCCTACCATTTAACACTGGAAACTGATTTCTGACTGAACTAAGATCCAAGGACATGCAAATACGCTAAAAATGCAAGGACAAACTGAATGACCATGATACTAAGACTGAATCTTCTCATGAATGACTGAGGAACTGAAAAGGAACTATTACCTCAAGATGGAATGGAATCGGAAGGAAAGAGGTGAGGTTACTTGGCCTTCATGGCTGCTTCTGCTTCCCAAGTAGCTCCCTCTACGGACCGACTCCTCCACAAAACCTTAATCGAAGCGACTTCTTTGTTTCTCAGCCTTCAAACCCGATGATCAAGAATCTCAGCTGGTACCTCCTCATAAGTGACACTATCCTTCACAACCACACTCTCTAATGCTACTATGGATGCTGGATCAACACACACTTCTTCAACAATGAAATGTGAAAGACTGGATGGACTGCTGCTAGTTCTGCGGGTAACTCTAACTCATAAGCCACTTTACCAATCCTTTTTCAGAATCTTATAAGGGCCTACATATCTAGGACTGAGCTTCCCTTTCTTGCCAAATCTCATCACCCCCTTTATAAGTGACACTTTCAGGAAAACCTAATCATCAACTTGGAACTCTAATTCCCTTCTTCTTATATCTGCATAGGACTTCTGGCGACTTTGGGTTGTGTTAAGTCTATCTCTAATGAATTGCACTTTCTCCATAGCATTATGAACTGAATCTTTCCCTATCAAGGCTGCTTCACCTACTTCAAACCAACCAACTGGAGATCTACATCTACGCCCATACAATTCCTCATAAGAGGCCATCTAAATGCTGGAATGATAACTATTATTGTAGGCGAACTCTATAAGAGGAAGGTGATCATCCCAACTACCCTTGAAATAAATCACACAAACTCTCAACATGTCCTCTAAGGGCTGAATGGTACGCTCTGCCTGACCATCCATCTGTGGATGAAATGTTGTGCTAAGATTAACCTGAGTACCAAGACCTTTCTGAAATGACTTCCAAAATGAGAGGTAAATTGAGGACTTCTATCTGAGATGATAGACAAAGGAACCCCATGTAACCTGACTATCTCATAATGTAAAGCTTAGCGTAGTCCTCCATCGTATGTGGTCTTGATAGCCAAAAAGCGCACATACTTTGTGACCCTATCAACTATCACCTAAATGGAGTCATGCTGTCTGCAAGTACGAGGTAATCCTGTAATGAAGTCCATATTGATCACTTCCCACTTCCAAGTAGGAATGCTGATCTCTTGAGTCATACCTCCTGGTTTCTGATGTTCTACCTTGACTTGTTGACAAATGAGGCACTTAGGCACAACATCTGCTATATCCTTTTTCATGCCATTCCACCAAAAGACTTACCGTAGATCACGGTACATCTTAGTTGTCTCAACTCACCTACCTTCCGAACTCATCATCGACCCTGACAGCAAAACACACCATCTCCCCCTTGGGAGAAAACCTCAACTCTCTACTGATGGACTGCGCCGTTTAGTTGAAGCAATATCGGATCACTATCTTTCTTTTCCTTAACCTCTGTTACCAATGAAGACTCTGACCCATTTTGAACTATTACACCACCATTTGATATGCTCATAAGGCGAACTCCCAAGCGAGCAATCCTGTTAACATCCTTTGCTAGTTCTTTTGTTTCTTCCTCAACATATGCTACACTACCCATAGATAGTGTACTAAGAGCATCTGCTACCATGTTGTCCTTACTAGGATGGTAATGCACACTCATATCGTAGTCATTGAGGAACTGAAGCCATCTTCTTTGACGAAGATTCAACTCTTTCTGGGTGAATACATATTGAAGACTCTTATGGTCTATGAACACATCTACGTGAATACCATACAAGTAATGTCTCCAAATCTTAAGTGGAAACACCACTACTGCAAGCTTGAGGTCATGAGTCAGGTAATTCTTCTCATGCACCTTAAGCTGTCAAGAAGCATAACCTATAACGTTATCTTGTTGCATCAACACACAACCTAGGCCAACTTTGGACGCATCACAATAGATCACATAATCATCTGAACCCTCTGGTAGAGTCAGAACAGGAGCTATAGTCAACCTAGCTTTCAGTTCTGCA